AACAGGTTAGGAGGCTTGCAGAACTGGAGCAAAGATGTTGATGGCTTGAGCTAGAGGAGCAGTGATAGGTATTGGAGATAAAATTTGGAGCTAGAAGCAACTAGAGTGGTTGATTATACTGGCTGAGGAGAGATAAGCAGTAGGAGGGGTGGACATGTGAGAAAGGAAGAATCAAGGATGGTGTTGGTGTTTTCTCTTAAGACAGTAAGCACAGGAACCTTTGTGAAGGTTTAAATGGTGGATCTACAAAGTCAGGGCCATTTGAGATGGTGGTGACCATGATCCTGATGGCACACACAGAGCTCTCAGGATGAGTTTTGCCTATCAGTTTTACCTCTGATGTTTGTTGTTTTTGTTTTGCTTTAGCTTGCTATTTGCAACTGGTGCCCTTTTCCTCCTTGCTTTAACATATCCGGCTTCTAATATTCTGGGCACATACTATTTTCTAGATCAAACATCCTGACCCTCTGAGCAAACCTTCCTTTTTTTCACTTTTGTTGTGTATTAGTTTCTAATCATGGCAATAAGAAATTACCAGGAACCTAGTGCCTAGAACAACACACACTTATTATCTTAGAGACTGAGGTCAGAAGTCAGAGTTTTAATGGCACTAAAAACGGTGTCAGCAGGGCTGTGCTCCTTCTGGAGCCTCTTGGAGAGGGCCCATTTCTCTGTTTTTTTTTTTTTTTTTTTTTTTTCCCCAGCTTTTCAAGGGTACCTGCATTTCTCAGCCCTTCTTCTTCCCAGCCAGCTGTGCTGCGCCTCCGCTCTCTTTCTCTCCATCTTCCACCGTGACATCTCCTTCTCTCTCTATGCTTCAGCCTTCACACTGCCTTCTCTGGCTGACATTTCTGCATCCCTCTTCTGTGAGGGCTTTTGTGATTACCTTGGGCCCACCTGGCTAGTTTCTCATTTCAAGGCCCTTCATTGGACCAATCTGCAAGATCCCTTTTGCCCGTGTATTAGCTTTTCATTCCTACAATAAAATACTTTATTTTTGTAAAGAAAATGACTTTATATTGATTCACAGTTCTGGAGGTGCAAGGTGCAAAGGCCTCATCTGGCAGCGACCTCACTGGACAGTGGCATTCTTGCTGGCAGAGTCCTGAGGTGGCACAGAGCATCAAGTGATATTCTTCACTGTGTCTTTTGCCTAAGTCACCCCGAAAGGGGGGTGGATAAATGCTTGTTGAACAATTGAATGTTTGTTACATGATAAAGGTAATAGCCTGAACAATGATATAGCCCCCAAATAAGCAAAACAGAGGACATTGAGGAGATAGGCTGAATGGAGCCCAGGGCCTCTGTTAGACAAATTTCTGAAGGATTAACCAGCAGTGAGGTTAAGTCACAGACTCTGAGTTATGATGTATCTGAATATCCTCACAATTATGGTATGGGTATTTTAAAGCTTTTACTTTTATTTTTAAAAAAGCAATTTATTTTATTTACTTGAAAGGCAGAGTGGCAGAGAGAGGGAGAGAGAGAGAGAGATCTTCCATCTGCTGGTTTAATCCCCAGATGGCCACAACAGCTGAGACTGGGCCAGGCCAGAGCCAGGAGTCTGGAACTCCACTCACATCTCCTGCAAGGGTTGCAGGGCCCAGGCATTTGGGCCATCTTCTGCTGCCTTCTCAGGCACATTACCAGGGAGCTGGATTGGAAGTGGAGCAGCCATGACTTGAACTATTACCCTGATATGGTATCCAGCATTGTAGTTGGTGGCTAAACCTGCTGTACCACAATATCGGCCCTTTTACTTTCATTTATATTTTATGTTAGTAAGAGAAACTTTATGCTTAATGATGTTCAAGTATTAGCCTTTTTAATATTTTTATAATTTGATAAATTATATTAAATGAACTATGATTAGGTCTCAGTATTAATAATAACTCATTTGTTAAGTGCTAGTGATATGTCAGTTATTTTATCTGTGACATCTCATTTCATTTTTTCAACAGCCATATGAGGGGAGGTGGTGAGATACCGTTTTACAGATGAGAACATGGAGTCTCATAGAGGTTAACTACCTAGTATATGCTGGAGCTGGAATTCACACCAAATGTATCTGATACTTTCTACTACCACAGTGCTGTCTTTATGGTGAGTTATGTTAGTAATCCTTAAAAAACATGTGAAATATGTTTGGTATAAGTATAGCATTGCTCTTTTCTTTGTTAGGCAATTAGGAAATAGTCAACTCCAAATTATAAAGCTGAGAAACATTTCCTTTTCTGAATAAATCAAAAAGGATATGTCCTTCAGCTGCTTTTCTGAATGAAACATTAGCTCTGCTGAATTATCTTTTGATGTGCAGATGGGCTTGTGGACAAGTGTGGTGATTGGTGTGCTCTCACCACCGTCCAGAAGTGAAACACTACTGGTTTAGGTGAAAGGCCCTGTGCATTCCTCCCCGTCCTGTCTTCCTCCCTCTCCTCTCCTAAGTGGCAACCGTTATCTGGACATTGGAACGCTGGCATTTCGCTCACCCTGGCAGCTTATTTATCTTGGCAGTGATCTAGTGACTGCTGAAGGGAAGTGTGAACATTTAATGTTATTCTTTTTCTAAAGAAACTTACTTTATGTTTTTGCTTCTCTTCCTGGTTTTTGCTTCTCTTCCCCAGATTAGTCTCAGCACTAATACTTTGAGCTATCCCCATCCTATCTCTTAGAATGAGAGAGGAGTGAAAATATACTCTGTAATAGAACTTGTAGCTAAGGGACCAAGAATCAATTCAGCAGGTTGACTTTTTCCCCTGTTATGATTGAATTCAAATTGGAATGAATGGGGCTGGCGCTGTGGCGCAATGGGTTAATGCCCTGGCCTGAAGTGCCAGCATCACTGGGTGCTGGTTCGAGACCCGGCTGCTCCACTTCTGATCCAGCTCTCTGCTGTGGCCTGGGAAAGCAGTAGAAGATGGCCCAAGTCCTTGGGCCCTTGCACCCATGTAGGAGACCCGGAAGAAGCTCCTGGCTCCTGGCTTTGGATCGACACAGCTCTGGCCATTGTGGCCAATTGGGGAGTGAACCAGTGGAATGGAAGACCTCTCTCTCTCTCTCTCTCTTTTTGCCTCTCCTTCTCTCTCTATGTTACTCTGACTTTCAAATAAATAAATAAATCTTTTTAAAAAATTGGAATGAACAACCTGCCACAGATAATCTTGAGCACCTCATGACCGAAATAGTTTGAGTGGGTTAGGCCTATAATCTGGTCATGTTTTAGGTAGCTGAACACTTTCTGTGTTTCTAACATTTTATCTAGATTTTTTTTACATTTATTTATTAAGGATTGTATTTATTTATTTGAGAGGTAGAGTTACAGAAAGAGAGAGGGAGAGACAGAAAATAGAATTTTCTGTCTGCTGTTGCACTCCCCAAATGGTTGCCATGGCCAGAGCTGGGCAGATCTAAAACCAGGAGCCAAAGTACAGGGACCCAAGGACTTGGGCCATCTTTCACTGCTTTCCCAGGCCATCAGCAGAGAGCTGGATTGAAAGAGGAGCAGCTGGGACACGAACTGGCGCCCATATGGGATCCTGGCACTGCAGGTGGAGGCTTAGCCTACTACCCTACAGCACCAGTCCCCTTTTATTTATTTTTAAAAAGAAATTTCTGATTTATTTTCATTTTATTTGAAAGGCAGAGAGACAGTTCACCCTCCAAAAGTTCACAGCAACTGGGCTGAGTGAGGCCAAAGTCAGGAACTAGAAACTCAATCCAGGTCTTCCACAGGGGTGGCAGAGACCCAGTTACTTAAGTCATCACCTGCTGCCTCTGAGAGAGTGTGTATTAGCAGGAAGCTGGATTTGGAAGTGGAGCTGACATGTAAACCTAGGCACTCTGATGTGCAGGTGACACGAGTAGTATTTTTTTTTTTAAAGATTTATTTATTTATTTGAAAGGCAGAGTTACAGAGAGGCAGAGATAGAGAGGTCTTCCATCTGCTGGTTCACTGGCCAGATGGCTGCAATGGCTGGAGCTGTGCCGATCTGAAGCCAGGAGCCAGGAGCCAGGAGCCAGGAGCCAGGAGCCAGGAGCCAGGAGCTTCTTCCGGGTTCCTGTGTAGGTGCAAGAGTCCAAGCACCTGGGCCATCTTCCACTGCTTTCTCAGGCCATAGCAGAGGGCTGAATCGGAAGTGGAGCAGTCAGGATTCAAACCAGCATCCATATGGGATGTAGGCACTGTAGGTGGAAGCTTTACCGACTACAGCACAGCACCGGCACCACAAGTAGTATCTTAACTGCTGTTCAATGTCCACTTCCCCCAGCCCCCAAGATTTTCAAAGTTCAGTATGGTATGTATTCTTATGATCTGTGCATTAATTTGTCTTGTGATAGATTCCCAGCAAAGTTGTGGATTCCGTCACATGAGAGATCAGTTTTTGCCCCAGTCTAAGGGAAAAGACTCAAGTTGGCAAAGAATTAAAGTAAGTTTTTCTAGGAAGACAGAAAAACCTAAGGCAAAAAAGTTGCTGATTAAGATAAGGTTCTGAAAGTAAGGTGTTACAGTTCAGGATAATTGGTTTATATAAAAAAAAAATAGAGATTGCGACTTTTAGGAAAATAAAGAAAAGAGGGAAATATTACATTGAATGAGAAGCAAGAGCTGTAAATGTGACCAGATCAGAGGCTGTGCTACTAGGCAGCTACTCTTGGGTCATTTGCCTAAAACAAAAAAAAAATAGTTTCAAAGAGAGTAGTGAATGACTGGAAACTGTCAAAAGTTGGCTGTTAGTGTCTGGAGCATAGTGAGTACTCGTTAATTAATTGATGATTGACTAACACAGTCTTAACAGTTTATGAAACTTTTCCAAAAAGTTTATGTTCATGTCCATAATAGTTCTTCATATGTGAAGATACATTTTACTTATCTGAGTACCATTTTATCAAATAATTTCTTTTTAAAGGTAATCCAAATGATTGTTTTTATCATCTTACAAAGTAGTTATTTTTATTACACAAGAATGATTTGAAAAAAGTTATATATGATTCTTTTTATAAAGTTTAGTGTCCAGATGTTGAACACAAGTTCTTCATTTCTTTCATAAAAATAATTTTGTTAAATTTTCTATAAAATGCAAGTACTGAACATTCTTGTGATAGCTTCTTTGTGAATGTGTCAGTGTTCCTGATTTGCGCATGCCTTATAATTTAGGCTTTCTTTTGTTTGGGGTTGGCAGTTCCAACTGTTAAAGCTCTTGTCTGATTCTGTGGAACTCCATTTTAATGGGAGCAGCTTCTTTGCTGAATTTTTAAAAAATGGTCTCGGAAGCTTCTTACTGTGGATCTTTGTTGAGGACAAAGGATTATTTATGCTAAAGGAAAATGTATTCCCCACTGAATGAGCTCGTGGGAAGGATAACAAGCTCATTAATAATGCTCACTTGTACTTTGGCCTTTTGCTGTGGCAGAAAGAAGGAAAAATTACATCAAAAAGGACATTCTGTTGTCTTTTGCCTTCCTGCAAAGAAAATGTGGTATAATATTAGGCTCTTTAGTTCAGTTTAGCTCAGGTTCAACTTTGGTATCAGAAGAAATATTCCTGAAAGGAAAGGGATAGATGTAGTTGCTGCTGTGTATCAGGTATGTCCATTGAAACTTAGAAAATATTTTTTGTTTGGGAATTGCTAGTCTTATTATGTTGCTGTTAGCAATTAAAAATGCTAGTTTTATTATGTTGCTATTAGCAATTAAAAATCCTCGAACTTATATGGCCTGTATAATTTTTAAATTTTAAAGGGTTTTTAAATTCTTCATTTTTTTCCCCTTGAAAGTACATTGGTTACTTTTATTAACCTGGTTATTTTCTCCTTGTAGATTTCAAGAATAAAACTTCCGAGCTAAGATTGGTGTTTCTTTTGGATTTTGCCTTTGAAAAATTATTACAGAAAAACATTGAGTAGTTTTTTCCACAGTTAAATATATTTCTATGTTTATGACCTTATTGTGTAGTAGAAGAAACTTTTGGTTAAACTTGTAAATGTTTACAAAGTCTAGGTGACTTCTATGAAGGTTAGATACTTGTGATATCATTTGTTGTGGTATTTATATTATTATATTTACAAGGGAACATAAAATTCTTAAAGACCTTTTATTGTTAATTTTATTTTATTAGCTAAATGCTTCAAGAATTACTATGATACTAGTGCCAGAAAACTACATATTAAAGTGTATTTTAGGTTTTCCTCTTTTAAATGAGGAGTGGCTTTTATGAAACAAGAAGCCAGGAAGGATTATTGAATTCTCTTATAGTCTAACCATTCCAACTAGAAGAAAAAGTTTTAGATTTTCAGTAACACAGGAGAACACAGCACATTTCCAATTTTTGTGATTTGGGTGTTTTAAGAAGTAGGAAAATTGCCATTGACTATGAATTATTTTTTTTCTGTTTTCAGAAAAGCAACAAAGGAACTACATCAATATAGATGGCCATGCAGCCTGCAATTCAAGTAAGTGATTTATTGGAGAAAAAGATGCATTTAAATTTTGGGATGAATATAATTGAATTATAATCAATAAAATACTAAATTATTACACAATAATTTTATTATGCTAGTTTTTTAAACATCATATTTTAATAACAAGGAGACTACATTTTGACTTTCTAGTTCTGAAAAGATTTTAATTGCAAGCTTTTTTTTATACTGAGTATTTGTAAGAATTGGGTTGGGAGAATTCTTATTTTTCATACCAGCCTTGAGAAAGAATTGGAATATTTTGTAGTTTCCTCCTCTTTATGGCTAAATGAGCTTCTGGGGAAAACATGTGCAAATTTGTTTCATTTTGGTTTTCTGTTTTTTTAGATAATGTGCATGTAGTCAGCGCACATATGTGACTAGGCATTAAACTTTTTAAAGAATGATATGTGTGTGTGTGTGTGTGTGTGTGTGTTTTGGTAGGGGGAAACATGCAGTAGGTAATGAGACAAACCAGAATAATCCTAATTTTGAATGATTTCCAGAGTGGGTATTTGCTATATAATTCTTATATCCTTTTAAGTGTTCTTTCTTTTGATATAAATAAACATGATTATTAATTTAATAATAAACAATTTTAATTAATAATTAACTTAAATAAATTGAATATTAAAGGTCTACCTAGAAAGATGCAAGCACCTAACAGTAAAATTTCTCCTGGAAAGTGAGAATGTTAGAGTCAATCAGATTTCAGTTCTAATTCTAGTTCTGCTACTCTTGGCTGTGAGATTCTGGCAAGTTATTTTACCTCTTCAAACCTCTGCTTCCTTTTCTTTAAGGTGGTGCAGGGTAGTTGTGAAGAATCAGTGAAATAACATGTTCCAAGGTCCTCCCAGAATTTATGTTGTCTAAGAAGCACATTAGAAGTTTGTTGTGGGGCCGGCAATGTGGCGTAGTGAAAAGCTGCTGCTGGCATCACATACGGGTGCCAATTCGTGTCCTGGCTGCTCCACTTCTGAACTAGCTCCCTGCTAATAGCCTAGGAGAGCAGCGGAGGATGGCCCAAGTACTTGGGCCCCTGACACCCACATGGGAGATCTGGATAAAGCTCCTGGCCCCTGGAATTAGCTTGGACCAGCACTGGCTCTTGCGGCTATCTGGGGAGTGAAGGAGCAGATGGAGAATGTCTCTCTCTGTCTCCCTCTTTCTCTGTAATTCTGACTTTCAAAATAAATAAATAAATCTTTTTTAAAGAAAAAAAGTTTGTCATATGGTTGGTAAACCTAAATTATATAGATGTGGGGCCTATGCTGTGGCATAGTGGATAAAGCTGCTGCCTACTGTGCCAGCATCCCATATGGGTGCCCGTTTGAGTCCCTGCTGCTCCATTTCCAATCCCGCTCTCTGATGTGGCCTAGGAAGGTAGTAGAAGATGGCCCAAGTGCATGGGCCCCTGCACCCATGTCGGGGACCTGGAGGAGGCTCCTGGCTCTTGGCTTTGGATCAGCTCAGCTCTGACTGTTGTGGCCATCTGGAGAGTGAACCAGAGAATGGAAGACCTCTCTCTCTCTCTTTCTGACTCTGACTCTCTGTAACAACTCTGCCTTTCAAATAAATAATTTTTAAAAAAATTATCTAGATGTAAAACTGGAAAAGAAAGAGGGCTTATCAGAACAGTGGATGACAGGCTAAAGAAGGAGCATTTGTTTATCAAATGGTTAGGAACATCCCTGAATGTGTTGTTGCTTTTACACTTTCCTATGCTGTGTAGCTCTACTGTTCTCCCCTGTCAAAAAAGAGCTCCATCACGCTGTGTTTGTTTTGGGACTTGGGAGTACACAACAGCCGCCCAGAAGCTCATATTTTTTACTGTAGGCCCTCTCTCCTCCACTGTTAGTATGCTCAGTAACTCTTCATTACTTCAGACATTTTTATCCACATCTCAAACTGTCATTAGTTTCTTATTGATCACCATTTCTTAATTCCTTATTGAGTGTTTTTTTAATCACTGCCACACTGACCGTGCTAAAACTCATTAATATTTCTTAATTTTGTGATTCTTTTCATAGTTTTATCTTAAGGCTCCACAAAATCTCCTCTGGTCTAGATATACTGAACCATCTTCATTGGGTGTTCACCAAGAATAGTCTTGATATCTCCCATGGAGATTTTTGCTTTTCTCCCTGCTGAATATCAGAACTCTCCAGGACTTTCACCTTTTTCTCTGCTAACTATTAGACATTTATATTCATAAGTGCCTTTCACAGGGGATACATCTAGCAAATAGCTGTTATCAATTAATTTCTTATTAATTTAATATAGTAAGACAATTCATGCCCTTCTTCTGTGTCTCTCATTCTGATTAATCGATAAACAACCTAAAAGTTGATGTACAATAGTTCTTAACTTCTTTTGAATCATGACCCTTTGAGAATCTGATAAAAGCTACAAACATTGTCCCTGAGGAAATGTCAACTTGCACTTAGTAATAAAATTTTCCTTAAATGGAAACTAGTTTATATACCTAAGTTCATCTATAGACTGGCTATGCATAAGAATTTCTGCAATATAACAGTTTTTGGCATGTTTTAGAATAACTTTTACATAGTTTTTGCTATTAACATTAATATGCTATTGACTAGCCCAGGTTATTATAGTCTTCTGGTTATAATAATAGGAAAATCTAACATGTACTCTTCTCTCTAACATAGCAAAAAGTAACAATGACTTTTGTTAATGCTAACTTCTCCATTTTCACATGTAACTCTTTCAGAACCACCCTCCTAACACATGCTTCTCTTTCCTTGCCAAGCATATGTACCTGCTCTTCCCTTTTCTGCCTTAGCAAAATGGTTAATGGACAAATAGCATTTACCATTGGTTGTATAAGACATCAGGGTCTGACCCATTACACAAGGTTGTCCCCATGTGTGGTTGACCTCTCACCTCGCTCAGGCTCTGACTCTTCATTTCAAGCCACTCCCCGCCCTCTTGGAAAACCTCCTTTTCACATCACTTGGGCTCTAAAAATATCCTTCCTGAGTTGTTTAGGATGGGGACGGACAAGGGAGGAGTATTTTTATCTTTTTTAAAAAGTGACTCGAGGCCGGCGCCGTGGCTCAATAGGCTAATCCTCCACCTTGCGGCGCCGGCACACCGGGTTCTAGTCCTGGTCGGGGCGCCAGATTCTGTCCCGGTTGCCCCTCTTCCAGGCCAGCTCTCTGCTATGGCCAGGGAGTGCAGTGGAGGATGGCCCAGGTGCTTGGGCACTGCACCCCATGGGAGACCAGGAAAAGCACCTGGATCCTGGCTCCTGCCATCGGATCAGCGCGGTGCGCCGGCTGCAGCGGCGGCCATTGGAGGGTGAACCAACGGCAAAGGAAGACCTTTCTCTGTCTGTCTCTCTCACTCTCTCACTATCCACTCTGCCTGTCAAAAAAAATAAAAAAAAAATAAAAATAAAAAAAAAAAAGTGACTCGATAATGACATGATTGCTTCTTTCACAACTTGAAGAATTGAATATGACATTTTCTATAAGTACTCATATAGTTGTATTTTAAATTTTACAAGCTTTGATAGTATGCTTATGTCAGTTTTTACTCTCAACTAGGAGATGGCCTGATAGTGGTAAATATTTTAGGCTTTGCCAGCCAATAGGCAAAATTGAGACTATTTAAATAGGTACTTTTGTAACAACCATCTTAAAATGTAAAGACCATTATTAGCTTGTGTGCTAAACGAAGGCATGTGACTGAATAGAGTCAGCTTCATGGACTGTGTGGCAAACTACATAGTTTTAAGTCAGAATAGAAATTCTTCTTTTAAAGATAACACTGTTAGTATTTGAAGTTTACAAAATATAATTTATGTTTTTATGCATACATTTATCCACTCATTCAATAAATGTTTATTGAATCTCTGATACCTGCTAGGCCCAATGCCAGCTGTTATGAAGATGTATCTTTTAAGGCAAGGAGTCATAATCCACTTTATAATTAGAATGCTGAGACACTTGTGAAGTATGAGAACTTGTTAAGCTTACTGTGCTCACAAGTGAAGGCAAAATAATCTTGAATTGTTTTTTCTTGGCTCAATAGTAGAATCCATTCATTAATTAGGGGTTCATGTAAATTGACCACAGTGTTGAATATTGACAACATCTCAAGTATAGGAACATGTCAAGGGCTAATAGTGTACTTCTAAATAATATGTTTTCTGTGGTTTGCTGTAGTTTATATATATAGGGAGATTATACTTCATTATTTAAATGTAGATGTGAATTACTATGACTTTTAGTATAAGGCTGCATTCATTCAGTTGATCGGCATTTTCTTTAGGTATGGTTTGGAGAAGATCTGCCGTTAAGTCCAAGGAATCCTCTGACTCCCAGACATGGACCAGGATTGGCTGATGTTTGTCAATATGATGAGTGGATAGCTGTGAGGCATGAAGCTACTCTGTTGCCTATGCAAGAAGATCTGTCAATCTGGTTGTCTGGTTTGTTAGGTAAGGCTGGCAGAGATATCCAAAACTGTATTCTCTTGTTCCATAAATATTTACTGAGAGCCTTACTCTTTGTTGACAAGTAGTTGTTCTAGATGCCAGAGTACTGTGATTCTGTAGCAAATGAAATATTCAGTGTTCCCATTGTCACCAAGCGTGCAGTCCAGTTGGGGAGGTACTGTGATTCACCTTGAAACTTGGGTCTTAAATAGTAGGAAATTTGAAGTTTAACTGAAGATATCAGTATGTTTTGAATAAGCAATATTTTCATTGTTAATATTAAATAGTAGTTTTTTAGAAGTATATAGGCTTCATTTTATTTTGTTTTGTTTCACTGACCAGTAAATCTCTTACAGGCATGAGGTTCCTTACGAGTTATATATATATACTAGTAAAATGATGACTATTTCTGAGGCACTGAGGGCTGGGGACATATGAAACCTAGGAGGAAATGCCAGGTTGGAGAATGTCTGGCATTATATTTTTTACTCATTAGATATTTTGTTCAATGCTCTGAACTTTCTCCCTAGAAAAAATACACTTTATTTTTAACTTTTATTTAATAAACATAAATTTCCAAAGTACAGCTTTTGGATTATAGCGGCTCCCCCCCGCCATAACCACCCTCCCACCCGCAACCATCCCATCTCCCACTCCCTCTCCCATCCCATTCTTCATCAAGATTCATTTTCAATTATCTTTATATGCAGAAGATCAATTTAGTATATACTAAGTAAAGATTTCAATGATTTGCACCCTTTAAATACAGAATTTCATGTAGCATTCCAGTGTTTTCATGAAAAGATATATAGCCTAAAGATCTTTTTTTGTCCTCTGAGGATAATTAAACAAATACCCAACATTCACTGTAGTTGTGTGATATCAGTGTGGGATTTGGATCATTTTTATAGTTTATTATGTTGGGGCTGGCACTGTGGCACAGCGGGTTAACACCCTGGCCTGAAGCGCCAGCATTCCATATAGGTGCCGGTTTGAGACCCGGCTGCTCCACTTCCCATCCAGCTCTCTGTTGTGGCCTGGGAAAGCAGTGGAGGATGGCCCAAGTCCTTGGGTCCCTGCACCCGCATGGGAGACCTGAAAGAAGCTCCTGGCTCCTGGCTTTGGATCGGCGCAGCTCCGTCTGTTACGGCCAATTGGGGAGTGAACCATCAGATGGAAGAACTCTTTCTCTCTCTCTCTCTCTCTCTCTGCCTCTCTTCTCTCTGTATAACTCTGACTTTCAAATAAATAAATAAATATTTTTTAAAAATATAGTTTATTATGTGACAACAATGCTTTTAAAAAGGCATTTTAGAGGTGTTAAGTTGGTTATTGGCTATGGTATTATCTTTAATTTTTAAATTATAAACAAAGCCTATTTTATTTGTAGACGTTTTGTGTCAGCAATATTAATATTCAGTGTATTTATTTTGTTTTGAATGAATGTCAGTTTTCTTTAGTTTTTTTCAATACCACATCTCAGATTTTTTTTCCATTCTCTCATCTAGCTTGAAATTATTTGCCGTGTTAATTGTACCTTCTAGAGTGGATATTTGGAGTCTGAGTTTATATTTTTCTAGTGTTTGAACTGTAATCTGTTTCCATTTAATTAAATTTTAATCATATTGTTTGAATTTACTGTTTCTAGAAAAATGTTAACTTTGAAACATATTTGTAGGTATAGAAGTTAAGGCGGAGAGCTTATTGGAAGAACTTGATAATGGAGTACTGTTGTGCCAACTGATTGACATTCTTCAAAACATGGTGAAAACATGTAGCGCTGAAGAACCAGAGGTAAGTAAATGTCTGGTAGTGGTGGTTTTATAACTTGGTACATATTAATTTGTTTATGTCCATTTCTTGCCTCTCTGAGGTTGTAAACTTCCACCTGACTGTGACAATTTGAGTAATTTAACATTTTTTAGCTAGATCTGGGAAAATGTCTTCCTTTGTAAAATGAAGGTATTAACATTTACCTTGAGGGAGTTAACTGCAAGGGTTTTCCAAAACTAAATGAGATATCTGATTTATTTTCCCTTTTTGTAATGATTATGTATTATGTATTCAATGAAAAAGGTATTTTAGTTCTGGAAAATAATAGCAGCAGGAATAATATACAAGGACCGGACAGTAGCGGTTTATTTCCAGGGAGCTAGAGGAGCTGAAGGGTAGAGGTGAGAAAGACATTGTGCTCTGCAGTACCTTCTGCATTTAAAAATAATCATATTCATGAGTTGCTTATTCAGGCAAAAATTTAAATATAAAGAATCCTCAGTAAGATTACCTAAATACTTGGACCATATGATAAAAAATTAGGATTCTGTGAAATGTGAACCATCGGTTTTCAAAAGACTTGTATGAAAATGGGCAACTGTTTCCTTATTTGATAGTCTCCTGGAGAAATTCAGAACATCCTTATGAATATGCATATAAGGAAATAAACAAACATGAGTATGGCTGGTAACTTTTAACACAGCAGTAATTTTGTGTTTGTATTGAACTGTATGTGCAGAGTTATACTATAGAGATGTGCTTTGAAATTATTAAACTGGTTTTTTTTCAATTAAGATTCTTGTGTTATTTAAAATAGAAAGAGATTAGAGGTGTTTGATGCTGCTGCTGATTTTGTTTGTTTAAGATTATTTTCCTAGGAAATATTTTCTGGAATGTACTTCAAAGCATAGTAAACTTAAATATTTTTGAAGGTGGTTTTCTCTTAAAGTTAGATTTTTTTTTAGTTAGATTTAATGCATTGAACACTTACTTAGAAATATTCAAATATTTAATGAAAATATCTTTGATGCCTTTTTGAAATTATTCCATTTTCTTTTCCAGAAATTTCCATTGAGAAAAGTGCCATGTAAGAAAGATGCTGCACCAGGTTCATTCTTTGCCAGAGACAATACTGCAAACTTTCTTCACTGGTGTAGGCATATTGGGGTTGATGAAACTTACCTCTTTGAATCTGAAGGTTTAGGTAAGTGTTATTATCATCACTGTTGTTGTTTTCCATGTTTATTAGATTTTTTTTATCCTTCACTTCTAATTTTTTTTTTCAAATAAAGACTCAAATGGCACATCTCATTTTCCTAGAATAACGTGTACTTTAAGTATATGTGAGAGGCAGGCAGTTGGTCTAGTGGTAAAGACACTAGTTGGGATGCCTGCTTCCTAGATTGTCTGGGTTTGAGTCACAGCTCCACTCCTGATTTCAAATCCCTGCTAATCTGCATCCTGGGAAGGAGCAGAGGTGATGGCTAAAGTATCTGGGTCCCTGACAACCCACGTGGGAAACCAGGATTGAGTTCCTATCTTCAGGTTTGGGGAGTGCATCCGTGGATGGGTTCCATTACTGTAGCTGCATCTCTCGCTGCATCACTCTCTCTCCCTCGCTGTATGCTCTGTGTCTGTTTCTGTCTTTTTCTCTCTCATTACCTCTCAATAAATAAAACATAACTTAAGAAAATATGAAACTATTACTAAATCAAATATATTTTGCTTTTTTTTTTATCATTAAAGAGTTTATTTAGAGTGCCCTAAAACTACTTCACTTCCTAAATGAGTTGGCTGCAGGAAGGTTCTGGACTAATGCCTTACTAATAATTAATGTTTTCATCAAGAATTACTCTACCAAGTTTAAATTACTCATAATTTCTCTTTAACTCAGTAATTATAGAAATAACAGAAGGCCAAATGAAGGGTACTTCCAGTGTTTAGGTTTCTCTTGTAAACAACAGCTGAAACTTGATTAACTAAATGGATTAATTTTTGACAATTAATTTTGAGACGTCATGCTCTACTGAAGAATTATTGACATTTTTTTCATTTGTTTAACTAAACAGAGGCATCTGCAGTGACTAGATGGTAGCTGTTTGATTTAAATTTTGTACTATATAAATTGACAAGCATTTATAAATGAGTGTGTGTATATATATATATATGATACTTAGATTCTGTAAAATGGAATTAAAAGATTAATATTTTGGTGCAAAAATTTTTGAAATCTGTACATACTAGTGATATTCACAAAGTTCATGAAAAATGTGTATTATGAAAAACTATGCATGGATTTCGAAACTTTTATTGCACCAAAATGAACTTATCTTACGATTTCATTTTTCCACAAACCTTTTGAAGAACCTTGTACAAATATATGTGTCCATAAACAGGCACACACACATACACACAGAATTTATAATGTTGTGATAGGAGCAGTAGCATAAATGGTGGGGGCTGTGAGAGTTGTCTTCCCCGTAGAGAGAAGTTTTATCACTAACATTGCTTAGAATTGCTGGTTCTTGGTGATAACAAAAAGCAAACTGACTTTTAGTTGGTTTTATCATAATCTTCAAATTCTGTAGTGCCAGTTTATACTCTTTTAACCTTCACTCAGGGTAAACTGTGACCACTGCTCCACATTTGAAATTCCTCTGGATTCTCCCATCCAACATGGATAAGGTGCTGTAGATTACTGTTCCATTCCTCAGTTTACACTTTGCCTTAAATCCAGGTGTGCTGATTATTATTGACAAGGTAGTTGATTTAATAGCACATTCAGCTTCTTGAGATCAAAGAGAAGAGGAAATGCTTTCCTGTAGTTTCTCTGTACTTTCTGTTTCTGAAAGGATATGATTATGTATTTCTCATTCTCAGTAAAGGACATCGTCTGAATGTCCTGAAGGTCACTGTAGGACTAACTAAAGCACTAAATAAAGTGCTACCAATGCCATAAATTTATTTCTAAATTGAACTGATGAACTGATGTTTTTACTCTATAAATGCCTTTTATTTATTTATTTTGTTTTGCAAGGAACTGAAAGTAATTTTAAGGAACAGATATACAATTTAAAGGTATTTCTAATGATTTAAAAAAAACAAGCTTGCAATTTCTTCATCTCAATTCCTTTATTGGCATGAATTATAAGCTCACATAGGCTTCTTCTTTATTTTAAGAGATTATACTTTGTGCTGGGGGTATACAATATATGCTAGTCATAAATCACAGAACATCTGTCATTTCTATCAAGGAGCCAGTGTACTTGCCATTCATCACATATTGCACTTATTGGATTAGAATTCACAAGTTTCCTAGAGTTTCTAACTCTAAGGACTGGAACAGACAGGAAGATGATCCGTAGCTACTATATTGGTGCATTTAGCACAGATTCTATGATCAGGTTTGTTTTTTTTTTCCCCTGAAAGAGCTCTGTTTATCTTTACCTTACAATTCCTTTTAGAATTCTTTTTACTTTTGTTTTTTAGATTGTTTTAAGATATATATTTTACTCTCTTAAATATCTTTAAGTATAGCACGTTTGCTTTTAAAATAGTGCTTAAAAATTAAGATATGCTACCCCAACATAAAATACATAGTTTAAAAATGTATGTTTCAGGCCAGCGCTGCAGCTCAATAGGCTAATCCTCCGCCTGCGGCGCTGGTACACTGGGTTCTAGTCCTGGTAGGGGCGCCGGATTCTGTCCCGGTTGCTCCTTTTCCAGTCCAGCTCTCTACTGTGGCCTGGGAGTGCAGTGGAGGATGGCCCAGGTGCTTGGGCCCTGCACCCGCATGGGAGACCAGGAGAAGCACCTGGCTCCTGGCTTTGGATCAGCGCAGTGTGCCGGCCGCAGCGCACGGGCCACAGTGGCCATTGGAGGGTGAACCAATGGTAAAGGAAGACCTTTCTCTCTGTCTCTCTCTCTCACTGTCCACTCTGCCTGTCAAAAATAAAAAAAAGAAATGTATGTTTCAGTGTTTTTTTTTTTAATAAATTCACTATATTGTATCATCATTACCACTTGATAATTCAAGTACATTTCTGTCACTTCCAACAGAAAATTCATGCCTATTAACAATTATTACAGGTACTCCCCTGGCTCTGGCAACTACCAACCTAATTTCTGTCTCTATGTGTCTGCATATTCTGGACATTTCATATAAATAGAATCATACATTGTACAGCCTTTGTGCCTGGCTCCTTCACTTAACATAATGGTTCATTTATGTTGTAGTATATAGCATCATTCCTTTTTTATTGCTGATGATATTTCATTGTATAGATATACCACATATTTTAAACCCATTCATCAGCTGGTAGATATTTGGGTCATTTCCACTTTCTGGCTATTATGAATAATGATTCTATGAACATTTTTATACAAGTTTTTCAGTGAATTTATGTTTTTAATTCTCTCAGGAATACCTAGGTGTGGAATTGCTGGGTCATATGGTAATTTTATGTTTATATTTTTGAGGAACCACCAAGCTTCACAGTGGCTGGACCATTTACCATTCCCACCAGCAATGCCCAAGTATTCCAATTTCTCCATATCCTTACCAACACTTGTTATTGTTTATTTTTGTTTTCATTATAATCATCTTGGTGGACATGCAATGGTATCTCATTGTAATTTTGATTTGCCTTTCCTTAATGACATTGACAATTTTTTCATGAGGTCATTTCTGTATCTTCTTTGAAGAAATGTATATTAAATTCCCTTTGTTTGGCTATGTATCTTTTTTTGTTGACTTGCAAGAATCCTTTGTATATTCTAGTCACTAGTCCTTTATGAGATATGATTTGCAAATATTTTTCACACTCTGAGTGTTTTCACTTTCACAATAGTATACTTTGATGGACAAATAGTTTAAATTTTGATAAAGTTTAACTTAACATTTTTTTTCTTTGTTTGCTGATACTTTTGGTGTCGTGTCTTAAAAAGCATTGCCTAATCAAGTTCATGAAGGCTTTTACCCACGTTTTCTTATAAGAGTTTATTTGTTTTATCTTTACATTTAGGTGTTTGACATTTTTAGGTCATTTGGATATTTAGTGTGAAGCAGGTGTTCAAATTAATTCTTTTGCGTGTAGCCAGCTAATTGTCCCAATGACATTATTTGAAAAGACTGTTCTTTTCCTATTGAGTTCTCTTGGCACCTTTGTTGAAAATAAACATTTGCTTATATTTCTGGATGCTTGGTTCCATTCCGTTAGTCGATATGTCTATACTTATACCTATAAACATTGTCTTGAATATTGTAGCTTATAGTAAATTTTGAAATAAAGAAGAATCCTCTAACTTTGTTCTTTTTTGCTCAGAATTTTTAGCTATTTTGTGTGCATTACAATTCCATGTTAATTTTATCATCAGCATGTCCATTTCTAAAAAAAAAAGTTGTTAGTATTTTGATAGGGATTGCATTGAATCTGTCAGCTTGAGAATCGTTGACATCTTAAGAGCATTGTCTTCTAGTCCATGAGCATGGAGTATTCTTTTATTTATATCTTATTTTTTTTAACATTTTATAATTTTCAACATACATTTTTTACATTTCAAAGTTCTTTTTGAAGCTATTCTAAATGGAATTATTTTCTTAATTTCATTTTCAAGTTATTTTATCTCCAGTGTCTACAAGTAATTTCTATATGTTGATATTGTATTCTTCAACTTTGCTGAACTTGCTTATGAACTTGAATTTTTTTTTTTTTTTTTGGTAGATTCTTTGGGATTTTCTACACATAGGGTTATTTCTTCTGTGAATAGAAATAGTTTTCATTCTTACTTTCTAATCTGGATACCTTTTGTTCATTTTTCTTGCCTACATGCCATGGCTAGAACCTCCAGTGTAATGCTGAATAGAAGTGGTAAGAGTGATCATCCTCGTCTTTTCCCTGGTCTTGGAAGGGAGACTTTTTATCTTTTACTTTTAAGAATGACATTAGCTGTGAGTTTATTATAGATGTCCTTTATAAGACTGAGGAAATTCTCTTCTTTTCCTAATTTATTGAATCACTTTTTTAATCAGGAGAGGAGTATTGAATTTTGTCTATTGGTTTTTCAATGTCTATTGAGATAATTGTATGTTTCTTTTATTCTGCTAATTATGTATTACGTTGATTGTTCTCATGTTGAACTAACTTTACATTTCTGACATAAATCCTGCTTGGTCATGGCTTATACCCGTTTTTATATTTTGCTGAGCTTCATGTCCCATTATTTTGTTGAGAACTTTTATATCATATTTATAAGGAATATTGGTCTTTAGTTTTCTTGTGAAGCCTTTGTCTGGCTTTGCTACCAGGGCAACATGAGAATCACAGGATGTGGTAGGAAGCGCTCCCTCCTCTGTTTTTGTGAGTCTGAGAGACTGCTAGCACATAGTGCTGTGCTGAAGATAACCTAGACTAAAATTGTGGTGTTGCATCTCTTCTAAGAGCATCTCCCATTGAGAGAACTTAAATATAAATAATGCTACAAAGATCTAAAATACTATCATCTTCCTCTAAGCCAGTTTTTTAAAAAAATTTATAAAAGATAACAATATGTAGAGATTATAAAAGTGCTTTTTCCAAGTCTTCTCCAAAAAGTAAACCCACTGTTTTCTTTGTTTGTTTTTTTTTTTCCACTTTCTTCCATGACTAAAAATGTGTTTTCCTCTTTAATTCTGCTTCTTAAAATATGTCTTATTTCCACAGTTTTGCACAAAGATCCAAGACAGGTATATCTTTGTCTTCTTGAAATTGGACGAATTGTGTCAAGGTATGTACTCCACTGTATTTCAGAACGTCAATGTCGTAAACATTTTTAAGCTATTTAGTTTTAGCTTATAACATCATTTCCTCTTTAAAAACTTAATTTCCTATTTTAACTTCCTTTTGGTGTCTTTAACTTTATTCACTATGTGTGAGCATATGCCAGCATCTGTTTTCTCATATAAACTGAAAGAGGAAATACTTAAACTTTTTAGATTAAGACTAGGGTAAGGACGCATAGTCTTATTTATAGTTCTAGTCAAAGCAAGTCCTCTGAATGAAGAGAGGATCTGATAAGAAGACCAAGGCTTGGTGTCCCCTCTACCTACTTAAGCCCCATCTTTATTCACTCCCGATTTTAAAGCTGCCTTTCAGGGTCTCAGGAAGATATTGAGGGTATCCAGTAACCCAAGTTTATGCTGTGATATGAAGATTCTAACCAGGACTTTTGGCAATCTGAGAGACATTTAAAAGCGTTTCCAGATGTTCCAAACAACTGGTAGAAGAGAACTATACAGCTTTTGCTTTGAAAATGCGTGTGTGTGTGTTTGTATGTGTATCTGTGTATAATCTGGAAATGCAGGGAAGTGTTTGGGTCAACTTTGCTTGAATGATCAGATCTCCTGGTTGCTTTTCAGATATGGAGTGGAGCCACCAGTATTAGTAAAACTGGAGAAAGAAATTGAATTAGAAGAAACCTTGCTTAATACTTCTGGGCCTGAAGATTCCATCAGTATTCCCAAATCATGCTGTCAGCATGAAGAGCTGCATGAAGCTGTAAGTAATGGCCACATTTTCTTTTGATTTTGATACCTCGGAGTCTTCTGGTTTGCTACACATGATGCTAATGCTTAAAAGACAGTGTTTCTTGTTCATAACATATACCAGTTACTAATCTCCACTTCCTGATGAGTTCAAGGAAATACATATATTTATATATATGTAAAATAGATACGTATTTTCTTATTAAGATTTATTTATTTTGGAATTCAGAGTTAAAGAGAGAGAAGGGAGATATATAGAGAGGAGAGAGATCTTCCATCCCCTGGTTCACTCCTCAGATGGCCACAGTGATGAGGGCTGGGTCAGGCCGAAGCCAGGAGCTTCATCTAGACAGGTGCCCACATGTGATGCCAGTATCACAGGTGGTGGCATTACCTCCTAGACAGTGCCAGTCCCAAGGCACTATATTTTAAAGGTGATTGGTTATCATTTTTGTGTGATGAGGAATGGGTTTATTTGGGGGGTGATGGAGTCAACAGACTGGAACCCTTCATGTAGGATACTGTAGCCACGATAACTCATTGATTCTTTTTTTAACATGGTAGAATTATAATCTGATTTGCATATTATAAGGATTACTCTCACGGTCATGTAGAGGTTATGTTGGTTTTATGGTAGTAATCCATACATAAGATGATGAGAGCTTGAACTTGAACAGCAGTAGTGGGAATGGAGCAAAAGGAACAAATATAAGACACATTTAGGAAGTGGAATTGACAGGAATCCATGACTGTGAGGAAGGGAGAAAAGCTAGAGTGATGTCCAAGTTTTCTAAATATATGGTATACTGGTACTTGGAGAATCCAGGAATAGGAATATTTGTGAGGGAAAACTGATTTTTTTTTCTAAATATTGTCCCCTGACAATATATGTAAACTTGTTAGATGATAGATTGAGACTGAAATGTCTTCTTAACTTGATCTGTTCATTATATAAAAGTTAATAGAATTGCATTTCATTAGGCTGTGGGTTTTCTACAGCAACTGCAGTATTAAGTGATCTTAGGTGAATTTGGTATCAGACATTTTCTGCTTACTGTTGTTTAGAATAATTCAAAAGTTGGTACCATTTTTTTAGAAGTGCTTAATGTATAAAACTATTGTAAATAACAAGTAAGTCATTACCAATACACATTTAAAAAGTATTGCTTAGGTTATTTGTTTAACCATAGTCTATAATAAAACCTTAAGGCCTTGCAGGAGAGATGAACATGTCAACCAGAACAACTCTATCAGATCAAGATGTGTTTGTATTGTGTTACTAATATTTATGAAGACTTTGAATATCAGTATGGAAAGAAGAAATAATATACTTGATAAAAAACAAAATTGATTTTAAATCTCTTAAAGAATGATTAAATAACAAGGAAACTTCAGGAAAATATTTTTATTTGATGAGAATTACTAGGTTTTCATTTCCTTATTATATAAAAACCATACAAAATTTAGTAAGAAAAACATTTCTAGTCAGTAAATGGAGCAGGACTGTGTTCATACAAGAAAATAATAGTATTGAAACTTGCTGAAATCAGTGCTGTTTGCCCCATTATGAAAACATTTTTAAATTATGAAACCTGGAAAATTCTGGTGAAACTATTCCTATGTGTTGCTATTGGCAGTGGAAAATGATATAGACTTTTGAAAAATAGATTGACAAGTGGATATCAAGAGCTACAAGAATACTCCTTCCTCATTTTTATTGAAATTGACAAAGAAAATAATGATAAATGAAAATATTACCCTTTATTTATATTGGTGAAAAATTGTAAACAATATAAATACCCTCAAATAGGTTAATAGCTTGGTGAATTAGGATTTATTATCTCAACAAAATAATCATGTTATGTGATCATTACGATGCCTGTGTAGCAACAAGAAAAACATTTTGTGAAAAATATATACATACAAACCAACTGCATGAAAATCATAAGCTTGACAATAATCAATAGTATTGTAATGCCATTGTAGATGATTTCCTTTTTCCTTTAGTTATTATGTTAGTTATACAATAAATAAAACCAAAAGAAAGTATTTCTTATCCACTGCTCTAGTTTCTTATGCTCACTGCCTTGTTCAGATTTTAGGCTAATGCTGATTTATAGTGTTCAATGTAAGTGGTATTTGGAGATCTTAAATAAGGAAATAAGTGACTTATCAGAACACATTTCTCTAAACGTGTGTGTGTATGTGTATGAATACAATGTCCACCTATATATATATGACCTATGGATATCTTGAGGTCATGATTAAAAATAGAGTAATGCTCTGATTTGTCATTTAGGGTTCTGTTAAGAAGTATATAATTGCAGTGTTGTATACTTATGAAATTTTTATGGACAGAAAGTAGTGATTAAAAGAAATGTTTTCTTTCATATTGGTTTGATTAACTAATGCAAAACATGCTTCTAATAATTGTAAACTCTTTACCTGAGTTCATTTTCTTTTTAATCATTTCATGTATATGGTTATGTGGATGTGTGTGTATGAACGTGTGCATATGTATACATATACAAGTATCTAAGCTATATACATGATAATCTTGATTGATTCATGAAAATCCATTTTATTTGCTTATAAACATACCATTTTGTGAAGTGAATGATGTAGGGGAATAAATTCCTGACCTTTATCATTCATTTTTGGTAGATAATTAAATATAATCAAATGAAGTTCAATTAAGGCACAGCTAAATTGTATATATCTGAGGAAATATTCTTTAGATCATATCCAAGTTTAATTAAATGTTTATTTAAATATATTCTGTGTGACAAGATAGTCAAGAAAAATATTTTTGACCTTGCTTTTTCAAAAGTATAATTTTAGGTAAAGTCAAATATTTTCCAATGTGGCTGAAATGTCTTTTTTTTTCAATCAAATGTATTTCAATAAATATCTTCAATTTATTTTAATCTTCATGCTTTAAATATAGAATTTTTAAATATCTTTTTATATTTACAGAAATTTCACTTCTTTTGTTTTATATTTACCGGGGAAAAAATTCTTGAAGCGTAGAAGTAGGGTTCCCCTGGCAGACCATTGAAATGAAGCAAGCACTTTCAGAAAAATCCTTCCTGAATTAAAATTTTTAACAATTTTCTCTAGAGTTGAGTAAATAGAGGTCAGTCTATCTCTGCCTTTTTAACAATAGCTTTGAACAAATCTAGATATTTTCTTAGAATATTAGTTTAGCATCGTGGTAAGGGACAAATGCAAATTACTACTTAACCCTTTTGTGACTGGCCAGACTTTGATTTGGCACAGATAGATTACTAGTTCAGGTCTTAAAACAATTCAGGCCTGATAATGAACTCAGGCCACCTAGCACTCAGTAAGTGTGTTTGGAATCTTTGGCGCCGTCTAATCATACTTGCGTATCTCCTCCTGTGGTCATGAGGACACGGCAAGCCCAATGACACTGGGCAGAGGGAGGGACTTTATCACTGCTGGTATTTATGTTAGATTAGCAGTGTCTAATCTTAGTATGTGTTCACTAGTAAAGGAAAAGAGAAATTAAATGGTTGTACTGGATTTGATTTTCCTAGCTATCAAATGACATTGTATTTTAACTTTAAACAAACTACTTTTTATAACGGGCACTGAATTTGTATTTATTTTTAATCTTAGGTTAAACATATTGCTGAAGACCCTCCCTGTAGTTGTTCTCATCGATTTTCAATTGAGTACTTATCTGAAGGGCGTTACCGACTAGGGGATAAAATACTTTTTATAAGAGTAAGTATGCTATTTACATGTAAGTACATATAGATCTCGTTTTGAAATTGGGTTTATTGCTTTACCAACCTCTTTTTGCTTTGCTTTTAAAAAATTGAAATGGAGGGTGCAATTCATGGAAGAATTTCATTGTACAGGAAAAATATGCTCCATCAATGTTTTAATGCAAATCTCTTTTTTAACATGTATGTTAAATGGCATTATATTCTATTCAATTCTTAACTTTTTATAAGCTTTAAAAAAGGAAAAATATGGTATCCTTGCCTTTCATGATGAGTTCAGGTAAACACTTTAAACAGTGAACAGCTAACTTCAGGATATCTAAGGCTAGATATTGAAATATAATTGAGGGAACAAAACTTTGTGTACCTCAAGTAACTTATGCCATTTTTCAAATTTTCTAAAAGGAAATAATCTTTGACTATAAGAAGAAAAAACAGAAGCAAAACATCTAATGAACTGAAATATCTGTAATAAGTAAAGAAAATAGAAATGCACTTTATGATAATATATGCTTCAGACTTTATGCATAAAATCTTTTTCTCATTGACCCAGCATCAATATGTATATATACTGGTATATATGTATTCATTTTCTTCCTGTCTCATCTGCAGTTCATTAATTGTCCCTTCTCCTGATGAGATTGAAATTTCCTCTTTTCAACATTCTTCCAAATTCTGATACAATATTTCACCATCCAGTTTTCTTCTCTTTCACATATTATCATTACTTCCCTACCCTCTACCCAAGTCACACAGAAACACAGGTACTGTCCACCTAATTAAAGGCAATCTGGTATAGCCATAACGCACAAAGCATGGGATTTGGAATTAAAATTTGTGTGCAGTGGAAGGCATTTGACCAAGCCCTTAAGCTGCCAGTTGGGAATCCTGCATCCCATATCAGAATGCATGTGTGCAAATTTTGACTCTGTTCCTGGGTCCAGCTTGCTGCTAATGTGCACCCTGGGAGATAGCAGGCCAAGTTCTTGGGAGACCTGGATTGAGTTCCTAGTTCTCCTCTGCAGGCTTTTGGGGGGTGAACCAGTGGATGGGAGCTTTCTGTTTGTCTGTCTCTCTCTCTCTGCCAAATAAATACTTAAAGTTTGTGGGCAGTTTTATATAGTTGTGCATATTTGCCTATTCATGAACAGGTGCCTGAAATCCAACTTGGGCTGTACTGACAAAGCCAGGGTTTCTTATCCCCACAAAAGCATCATTTGGATTTCAGGCAGTCTAGAATATTAAAAGCCAGGCCAAGCTGTGTTACTTGGGAAACACTCCTTAATTTCAAGAGACATAGTTTTCTTGTTTGTAAGGAACTAATAATAAATCTTAGCAAAGTGCCTTTAAGATTAAATTTATATGATATATTAAAATAATTTATTAACTTGTAAAATTATTAAATTATAAATTGCTTTATCTTTTTTCTTCCCTGTTATTTTTTTTTTAATTATCAGGCACTTTTTTTCCTTAAGCCCTCTTTTCTTTCTCCTTCCAGCTCTCCTCTCTCCTCTTTCTTTCCATTTATTTATTTTTTAAAAGAATTACTTATTTATTTGAGAGGCAGGGTTACAGAGAGGCAGAGGCTGAGAAAGAGAGAGAGGTCGGTCTTCCATTCACTGGTTCACTCCCAAGATGGCTGCAATAGCCAGAGCTGTGCCTATCTGAAGCCAGGAGCCAGGGACTTCTTCCTGGTCTCCCACACAAGTGCAGTGGCCCAAGGACTTGGGCCATCTTCAACTGCTTTCCCAGGCCATAGCAGATAGGTGGATTGGAAGTGGAGCAGCTGGGACTAGAACCGGTGCCCATATGGGATGCCGGCACTGCAGGTGGTGGCTTTACCCGCTATGCTACAGCGCTGGCCCCTCCTTCCATTTATTTTTAACTCTTCATTGAACAACATTGCCCTTGTACTTACTTTTGTGTATTAATAACTTGAATTTTTAAGATGCAAGTTATTTGTAAATATCTTCCTTACAGATTGTAGGATTTTGATTGTTGTATAATTCAATATGAATTAAATTTATTAATACAAGGGACGGTCAATTTGTAGTGAAGATGTGGGCAAATCTCTGAATTTCATAGATCATAGACATCACAAATTGTTACTGCTAATGAATTGTAGCTATTATAAACTTCACTATTTCACAGCTTATTTTTAAATTTTCCTTTGGGGGCAGATGCTTCATGGAAAACATGTTATGGTCCGTGTTGGTGGAGGCTGGGATACTCTTCAAGGATTTTTGCTTAAATATGATCCCTGTCGAATATTACAATTTGCTACACTAGAGCAAAAAATTCTAGCATTTCAAAAAGGAGTTTCTAATGAAAGCGTACCTGATTCACCTGCCAGAATACCTCAGCCTCCTGAAATGAATCCTTTGTCAGCGGTTAACATGTTTCAGAAACAAACTTCAAAACCTGGCACGCCAGTTCCCAGGAGCAAGGAGAAGCAGGTGCATCCACCAGGTGTTCTGCAGCCAGCTTCTTCACGGAAAGGAGGTAATCTCGGCTCCACGTCAGACCCGTCTAAATTTCCAAAGTCCCCAGCAGTGTCTTCCCATCTGAAGTTCAAGTCTTCTAAAGACAAAACAAAAAAGCCACATGCTCCATCAAACAATGTCTCATCTTCACTGGCTTCTTTAAACCCGGTAGGTAAAAACACTTCTTCACCTGCTTTATCAAGAACTGCACCTTGTGTTTCTGAGTCGTCATCCTCCAGGACCCCTAAGGCCAAGGTTATTCCAGCCCACAAATCAAAAGACCTGCCTGAGTCTACTCTGTTGCCAAGTAAATATTCTGGAAAAACTGAGTTGAAGTATTTGAAGCAGAATCATATTTCTTCAAAGGATGAAAAAGTAATTCACTCAGCTGCACATTTAAGTTCATCGTCAAAGTATCCAAAGGTACCTAAAGCAAACGTACACGTAAGGCCTAAACCTTCTCCTTTGCAGTCCCCTGCAAAAATGACAAAATCCAGTTCTAAAACCAAAGCCACAGTTCTAGAAACACTGTCTCAGCCATCTGCTGGAGCCTCTCATGCAGGGGTAGTCCCTGCACAGAAACTTAAATCAGCCTTGAATCTAAATCAGCCAGTTTCTGTGTCCTCCATTTCCCCTGCGAGAAATGCACAGGAATCAAAAGATGCTAAAATTTCAGTTGCCAAAAAGCAGCATCAGAATAAAAGTACATGCCAAAAGGCAGGACCCAGTTCCTCAAAATCCCCTGGCCGTACTCCACTGTCAATCATGAGTGTTCCCCAGTCTTCTGCAAAAGCACAGTTGATACCAAAGTCAGCGCACAGTGCCACAAAGGGCCAGTATTCAGCCAAAGGGCCTCCCAAAAGCGACAAGACTCCAACTTCAAGCAGGAAACCACCTTCTTCTGGTAAGGAAGCAGATAATGGAGATAAGAAACCTACTGCAAAGAAAAAGGAAGATGATGACCATTATTTTGTTATGACTGGAAGTAAGAAACCTAGAAAATAAATAAATATATATATGTTTGTGTGTCATTTTAAGAAAATGGGACAGGAGCAGGTCAATGTGTTAGCTTTGCACATAAAAATTTCTCCTGTATGTATTTGTCCAAATAGGTGCAGACATTAAGTACAATGGAATGGATGATTAAGGTTGAGGTTGGGGTCAGAGGCTGGGATGAGGAGGAGGCTCCTCAGAATTCAGATCTCTGAATTCACCAGAAGCTACTCTTGTAAGGCATACTGTTGTAAAATCACCACATGGTTCTTATTGAAAAATAGACGTGCATGTGATTTCAGTCTATAGCATCAGTATCAGTGGCTGTCTTTAAGGGAAATGTACAAGTCAAATAACACTACTAGAATTACAATTACAGCAGGAGCGGGAAACCTTTCTTCTGTGAAGGGCCATTTGGATATTTATAATGTCATGCTTGGGCCATACAGAATTATCAGCTTAAAAAAAAATTTGCTTGCTGTTACTGAATTGCGAGTCAAGGCAGGCCAGACCAAAGGACCTGCAGGCCTTATATGGCCCACAGACTGGTTGTTCCCTACCCCTGAACTATGGGGACTGTTTTTAAAATATAGTTTTAAAAGATGGGGTTACATACTTGCTAATGCAGCAGTGGTGCTCTTAATATTAGATATTACATTTTAGTAAAAAAGAAACGGTTTGGCACTTGTCCTACAGAAGGCACCTAATTTAACTTCCTGGTCACCATTGCCTGGTCCAACAATGCCAGGTGACAATGGTGTGCATGTTAGCTTGGCATTGCTCTGGGCGAGGTACAGTTCTTAGTACTTACATGTTTTTAAGCTTTCAAATCAGAAGGAAGTGATTATTTTACCTGGCAATATTTTGTTACCAGTGTTTTTGGTATAAATAAATAAAATTAATTTATTGAAACAAAAACTGAAACTTGGTTTAAAAAAATCCAAGATTTTAACTATATTGTCTATAAAAACTTTGCTTATATTTTAGTAGATATTGTGCAATGTAATGGGGAGACTGATTTAATAGCTACTAGCATATTAGAGATATTTTAATGTTTCCTATGAATACAGATATGAATTTTACATGAAAATAATGTATTTAACATCAGAGTTATTTTAACAATCTTTTTTTATTTTATATTTTGGTGATCCAACACTAATATTTATTTTATTGCTCAAATTACTTTGCTTTTGTGTTTTGAGCACTCTTTTATTTTTCCCCAGAGAAACCTTTTATTTAAGGAAAAACAAACTTCATGCATTTCATAAGTACAACTTTAGGAATATATTGATTTTTCCCTCTGTGCCTGCCCTCCCACCCACACTTGCACACTTCTTCCACCCTTTCCTATTCCCAGTCTTATTTTATACTAATGTCTATTTCCAATTAACTTTATACACAGAATATTAAGTCTATAGTAAGTAAAGAACTTCTCAAAATGTATGAAAAAAGGAAACAATTTTTAAAAATTAAAAACTTTCTCAACAGTTGAAACAGGGATGTTCAGAGTCATTGCATCTCAAAGTTAAATTAACTTTTTTTTTTTTTAGAAACTTAATTAACTTAAAAAAGAAGCACCCAAGAATGATACATCTTTTGGAAGCACTTAGAGATAACTGTAGCTTATGAGACTTAAGAATAGCCTATTCCCTTACTACATTAAAAGAAAGTAAGTCTTTGGGAACAAGTTTTATCATTAAAGAAGCTCCTAAGAAAACAAACAATGGAGTTGGACACTTTGGCATAGCTAAAACTTATGAGACATAAGTATATCCTCTACTTAATATACTAAGATGGAATAGATCTTTGAAAACAAGTTTTATTGCTAGCTCTCCTAATATAACTCTTTGAGGGCAGAGGTCCTTCATGAGAAGTTAGTGCACAGTGACTCCTGTTGTTAATTTAATAATTAACACTCTTATGTATAATGTCAGTCATCACCCGAGGCTTTTGACATGAGCTGCCTAGGCTATGGAAGCCTTTTGAATCCACAAACTCCATCAGTATTTAGATAAGGTCATATGCAAAGTGGAAATTCTCTCCTCCCTTCAGAGAAAAATACATCCATCTTTGATGATCACTTTTTTCCACAGGGTTCTCACCCATAGAGGTCCTTCATTTTTTGCCATAGTGTGTTGGCTTTCCATTCCTGATGTGCTCTCATGGGCTTGTCAGCCAGACCAGAATGCCTTAAGGGCTGATTCTGAGGTCAAAGTGCTACTTTAAGTGATTGTCATTCTAAGAGTTTGCTGTATGGACTGTTTCACATGCTGGAGCATTCACTCCTTTTTATTTCTATCTATTATTATTACCAGATACTTAATCCTATTTATGATTACTTTAACACTTAATCTTATCCATATGATCACTCCAATATTCAAAATGCTATTTTTGCCCCCTAGCTTTAGAGGATTTGGGGTCCCATGGAAAGTTTTTAAACTGTACCATTAGAAGTAAGTCCATAAGAATGTATAAAGAACTATACAGCTTTACAATTACAGACTTCATACACTTCCTAATTACAACTTTAGGAATATAGTCATTCTTCCCACCATGCCCATACTCCAACCCCTCTTCCTCCTCCTTCTCTTATTCCCACTCTTATTTTTTACTAGGATCTATTTTCAATTAACTTTATACACATATGATTAACTCTATGTTAAGTAAAGAGTTCAATAAATATTAAGAAGAAAAAAAACTGTTCCTCAACAATCAGGACAGGGCTATTCAGAGTCATTGCTTCTCAAAGTGTCAATTTCATGTCTACAGATTGCCTTCTAGGTGTCCTGTTAGTTATCATGGGTCAGGGAGAACATATGATATTTGTCCTTTTGGGACTGGCTTATTTCACTAAGTATGATGTTTTCCAGTTTCATCCATTGAATTGTAAATCATCAATTTCATTTTTTTTGCTGCTGTATAGTATTCCATGGTGTACATATCCCATAATTTCTTTATCCAGTCTTCGGTTAACATGCATTTGGATTAATTCCATATCTTTGCTATTGTGAATTGAGCTGTAGTAAACATGGGGGTACAGATAGCTCTTTCATATGCTGATGTCACTTCCCTTGGGTAAATTCCCTGTGGTGGGATGGCTGGGTCATATGATAGATTTATATTCAGATTTCTGAGGTATCTCCATACTGTCTTTTTTTTTTAAAGATTTATTTATTTTTACTTGAAAGTCAGAGTTACATAGAGGAGAGGCAGAGAGAGAGAGAGGGAGAGAGAGAGGTCTTCCATCCACTGGTTCACTCCCCAGTTGGCCACAACAGCCGGAGCTGAGCTGATCAGGAGCCAGGAGCCAGAAGCGTCTTTCAGACTCCCACATGGGTGCAGGGCCCAAGGACTTGGGCCATCTTCTACTGCTTTCCCAGGCCATAGCAGAGAGCTGGATCAGAAGTGGAGCAGCCAGGTCTCAAACTGGCCCATATGGGATACCAGCACTGCAGGTGGCGGCTTTACCCACTACACCACAGAGCCAGCCCCCATACTGTCTTTCATATTGGCATTACCAGTTTACATTCCCACCAACAGTGGTTTAAGGTACCTTTTTCCTCACATCCTCACCAGCATTTGTTGTTTGCTGACTTTTGTATGAACGCCATTCTAATGGGGGCAATGTGGTTTTGATTGGCATTTCCCTGACAGCTAGTGATCCTGAGCATTTTTTCATATGACTGTTGGCCATTTGGATTTCCTCTTTTGAAAAATGCCTGTTTAATTCCTTTGCCCATTTAATAACTGGGTTGTTTGTTGTTGAGTTTCTTGGTCTCTTTGTATATTCTGGTTATTAATCTCTTTGTATATTCTGGTTATTAATCCTTTATCAATTGTATAGCTTGCAAATAATATCTCCTATATTACCTGTTCACTTTCTTGAATGTTTCTTTTCCAGTACAGAGCTTCTCAATTTGATGTAATCCCATTTATCAATTGTGGCTATGATTGCCAGTACCTCTAGGGTCCTTTCTAAGAACACTTGGCCTATGCCAGTGTCTTGCAGGGTTCCCCCTGTGTTCTCTAATAATTTGATGGTATCAGGTTGTAGATTTAAGTCTTTAATCCATTTTGAGTGGATTTTTGTGTAAGGTGTAAGGTAGGGATCTCGCTTCATGCTTCTGCATGTGTGGCGATCCAATTTTCCCAGCACCGTTTGTTGAAGAGACTGTTCTTACTCCAGGGATTGATTTTAGCTTCTTTGTCAAAGATAAGTTGGTAATAGATGCTTGGATTGGTTTCTAGAGTTTCCATTGAGTTCCATTGGTCTATCCATCTGTTTTTATACCAGTACCAGGCTATTTTGATTATAGCTGCTCTGTAATGTATCTTGAAGTCTGGTATTATGATGCATCCGACTTTGTTTTTGTTGTATAAGATTGCTTTATCTATTTGGGGTTTCATGTGTTTCCATATGAATTTCAGTATCATTTTTTCTACATCTGAGAAGAATGCCCTTGGTATTTTGATTGATATAGCATTGAATCTGTTAAGTTGCTTTCAGTAGTATGGACATTTTGATGGTATTAATTATTCTAATCCATGAACATGGAAGATTTTTCCCTTTTTGTATATTCTATTTTTTTCTGTAATGCTTTGGAATTCTTATTGTAGAGATCCTTGACATCCTGGGTTAAGTTTATTCCAACATTTATTTATTAATTTTTTTTGGTAGCTGTTGTGAATGAGATTGATCTTAGAAGTTCTTTCTCAGCCGTGGCACTATTTGTGTATACAGAGGCTCTTAATTTTTGTGTGTTGATTTTATATCCTTCTACTTTACCAAACTCTTCTATCAGTTCCAATAGTCTATTAGTAGAGTCTTTTGGATCCCCAAATATAGAATCATGTTATCTGCAAATAGAGATAGTTTGACCTTCTCCTCCCCAATTTGTATCCCTTAGATATTTTTTTCTTGCCTAATGGCTCTGGCTAAAACTTCCAGGACTATATTGAATAGCAGTGGTGAGAGTGTGTGTGCTTGTCTGGTTCCAGATCTCAGTGGGAATGCTTCTAACTTTTCCTCATTCAATAGGATGCTGGCTATGGGTTTATCATAAATTGCCTTGATTGCATTAAAATTATTCTTTCTATACCCAATTTGCTTAGAATTTTCATCATGAAGGGACACTGTATTTTATCAAATGCTTTCTCTGCATCTATTGAGATAATCATTTGGTTTTTGTTCTTGAATTTATTAATGTGGTGTATCACATTGATTTGCGAATATTGAACCATCCCTGCATTCCAGGGATAAATTCTACTTGGTCAGAGTGGATGATCTTTCTGATGTTTTGTTGGATTTGATTGACTAATATTTTGTTGAGGATTTTTACATCTGTGTTCATCAGGGATATTGGTCTATAGTTCTCTTTCTTTGTTGCTTCTGTTCCAGGTTTGGGTATTAAGGTGAGGCAAGCTTCATAGAAGAAGTTTGGGAGGATTCCCTCCTTTTCAAGTGTTTTGAATAGATTGATAAGAATTGTAATTAGTACTTTAATTTTCTGGTAGAATTTAGCACTGAAGCCTTCTAGTCATAGTGTTTTCTTTGTTGGAAGAGTCTTTATTACTGATTCAGTCTCCATCTTGGTTATTGATCTCATGTTTTCTCTCCATGACTCAATTTTGGTAGATTGTATCTTTTTAGGAATCTATCCATTTCTTATAGGTTTGCTAGTTTATCAGCCTACAACTCTTTGTAATAATTTTTGATGATTCTTTCTATTTTTGTGGTGTCTGTTGTTAGATTTGCTTTTTCCTCTCTGATTTCATTGATTTTGGTCTTTTCCTTTTATTTATTTATTTATTTTTTTGGTTAGGTGCACAGTTGTGTATCAATTTTGTTTATTTTTTCAAAAAACAGCTTTTTTAAAATTTTTTCTCTAATTTTAAATTTCTTTCTTTCTACTAGTTTTGGGTTTGGTTTGTTGTTGATGTTATAGGTCCTTGATATGCATTGATGGCTCATTTATTTGGTGCCTTCCCAGTTTCTTCATGTAGGTTCCAATTGCTATGAACTTCCCTTTTAACACTGCTTTTGCTGTATCCCATAGGTTTTGATATGATGTGTGTCATCTTCATTTGTTTCCAGAAATTTTTGATTTCTCTTTTTATTTCTTCTATGACCTACTCTTTATTCAGGAGCATGTTATTCAGTCTCCATATGTTTATGTATGTTCTAGAGATTCTTGAGTTGTTGATTTCTAGCTTCATTCCATGTGGTCCGAGAAGGTGCGTGGAATGATTTAGATTTTTTCGAATTTGGTTTCTATAAGCATGGACTATCTTTCCATCCATTCACTTTCAGTCTACATGCATTGTTTTTGGTGAGATGTGTTTCTTGTAAGCAGCAAATATATGGGTCTTGTTTTCAATCCATTCAGCCAGTCTGTATCTTTTAACTGGAGGATTGAGGCTGTTTACATTCAAGGTGACTATTAATAAGTAACAACCTGACCCTGCCATTGTTGTGTAAATATTCCTATTGTTTAATTGGATTTATTTTGGATTTCTATTGGTGGTTTTTCTGCCTTCTCATTCTTTCATAATGATGGCTATCTTTCTGTATCTCTGTGTAGCACATCCTTAAGCATCTTCTGTAAGTCTGGATGAGTGTCGACAAATTCTTTCAATTTCTATTTGTTAAGGAAGGTCTTTATTTTGCCTTCATTCATAAGTACAAGCTTTGTGGGGTATCATATTCTGAGTTGACAGTTTTTTTCTTTTAAGACTTGGACTATACCTTGCCATTCCCTTCTGGCCTGTAGGATTTCTGATGAGAAGTCAACTGTGAGTCTAACTGGTGATTCTCTGAAAGTGATTTGTTGGTTCTCTCTTGCCCATTTTAGAATCTTTTATGTTTTACTGTGGAAAGTTTGATATAATGTGTCCTTGGTGAGGGTCTTTTCTGGTCATGTCTTTAGGGGTTCTATGTGCTTCATCTACTGGAACATCCCTTTCTTTCTCCAAATTGGGAAGTTTTCTGTAACTGTTTTACTCACCCTGTCCACGGCTGCGGCTCTCTGTGGGTGCCTTAGCACTTACCACGCAGTTTCAAGCTGTTTCCCCTTCTCCCGTGGGGCTGCCTGGGTGGTTTTCTCTTATCTTCTCCTCCAAGTGTGTATTCCCTACCTTATTCCCCACGCTTTTTCTTCCTAGCCCTGCATAGCGTGCTGCTCCCTAATCCACCATTTTTTCCAGGTTTTAACAATCTTAAAATTAAGATAATGTTAAAAGAATCTTTGATACTATATGTAATTTCTATCATGTGATTATCATTTTTCTTGAGATTGTGCAATAATACCAGAGTTAGTTAGATTTTACCAATTATTTTAATGGTCTTTAATAACATCATGCTGCCTGCATGTTTCTGATGGCAAGTGGCTAGCCTGTGAGGATGTTTTCTGCTGTGTAGGAAGATTTTCTCAGAAATCTCCCCATCACATAATGGTGGCATAGACTCCATCTATTTAAAATTACACTTGCAAATAATTTATTTTTAAGGTTTGTGACTATTTAAAAATTATTAATATACTTTGAGAAGTGTTACAGTATTAGGTTATTATGTTCAATATTGAGGTTTGCACATCTATGTTTGCTTTCAACTAAAATGTTTTTACTAGAGAAAAATAAAGTTCATACAAATGTACAGTCATAGAACAAGCTTAAGTTGATTACTAACATTCTATAGATCATAAAGCAAGAAAACGTATAAAAATAAGTGCTCTAGGGGTGAGTGTCGTGGCACAGTGAGTTAAGCCACTGCTTGGGACTCTTTACATCCCATATCAGAATGCCTGGGATCAAGTCTTTGCTTCTGATCCAGATTCCTGCTAATGTACCTAGAGACAAACATAAAGCCAAGGCACTTGGGTTCCTGCCACCTATGTGGGAGATCTGGGTGGAGTTCTTGGCTCTTGACTTCAGCCTGGACTAACCATGGCTTTTTTTTTTTTTTTTTAAGAATTATTTATTTAAGAGGCAGAATTTCAAAGAGGGGAAAGACAGAGAGAGGTCTTCCATCTGTTGCTTCACTCCTCAAACAGCTGCAATGATGGAGCTGAGCCAACCCGAAGCCAGGAGCCAAGAACTTCTTCCAGGTCTCCACTTGGGCCATCTTCCACTGCTTCTCAAGCATTAGTTGGGAGCTGGATCAGAAGTGGAGCAGGGACCAGCACTGTGGCGTAGTGGGTAAAGCCACCACTTGCAGTGCCAGCATCCCATATAGACAATGTTTCCAGTCCCAGCTGCTCCACTTCACATCCAGCTCTCTACTATGGTCTGGGAAAGCAGTGGAGGTTGGCCCAGGTCCCTGGGCCCCGGCATCCACGTAGGAGACCTGGAGGAAGCTCCTGGCTCCTGGTTTTAGATCAGCCCAGCTCCAGCCATTGTGGCCACTTGTGGAGTGAACCAGCAGATGGAAGACTTCTCTCTGCCTCTGCCTCTCTGTAACTCTGCCTTTCAAATAAATAATAAAATAAATCTTTCAAAAAGTGTAGTAGGCAGGACTCGAGCCAGGGCCCATATGGGATGCTGGTACCACAGGTGGAGGCTTAACCTACTATGCCACAGCACCAAACCCCCAACTCTGGCTTTTGTGGGCATCTGGGGAGTGAACCAGATGGTGGAAGATCTCTGTCAGTCTTCCAAATAAATAAATAATCTTTAAAAAAATTTATCTTTTGCCTGACATACACATTTGAAATTTAAAAAAAAAAAGCAGGCTAGATTTTGGAATAATTGATGCTCCTCTTAAAAGAGACACATATTTGGCTTAACTCTCCTATTGATCTGGATATTGACACTAATAATATTTATGTCTTTGGAAAGTAAAGTCAATGCTCAAAAGGTAGAAACTTTACATTTTTAGTAGGCAAAACTATTTAATGCTTCTTTCAAAGGGGGCGGGAGTTTATTTTCAAGGAATTTTTTTTCCCTTGTAAGACCATACAGGGGACAGCTTTGTGGCATAGCAGGTAAAAGCTGTCGCGATGCTAGCATCCCATATGGGTGCCAGTTCATGTCCTGGCTGCCCCATTTCTGATCCAATTCTCTGCTAGTAGCCTGGGAAAAGCAGTGAAGGATGGTCTGAGGGCTTGGGCCCCTGCTACCCATGTGGGAGACCAGGATCCTGGCTTTTGGTTTCAGCCTGGCTCAGACTTGGCTATTATGGTCATTTGAGGTGTGGACCTCTCTCTTTGTAACTCATTCAAGTAAATACATAAATCTTTAAAAAGAAAAGACCAAACAATACTTGTATATCAATGTCTTTTAATTTGAAAAAAAGTAAATGGTATTATAGCCAAACTATGAATCTAAATAGATTTTGCAATTATGTGAACATTAACTTTTGTATTGAGCACAGAAATAAAAGTATTCCACAGACATCTGAAATAAATTCTAGAATTGACCAAAGTAATTGTTCATTTGGATAATTGGAAGTCAATTTATAAGTAACTTTGTTCTTAAATTGTAGGAAATTTCTCTAATTGTATTCACATTGAATGAATTTGTATACACACACACACACATATATATATATATATAGTTTACCCTTCCAAAATAAAAGTTTTGTTTGAACAAACAAGGCCTGAAAGAAAATTTCTTCAAACATTTTGGACTCCTCCTAGTGTTTTTAATCACTTAAACAAATTTTAAAGCAATTTTTAATGTTTTTATAGTTGGGAAGAAGTTCTCATCCCTTCTTAATAATATGCAAGATTTTAGAGGGTCTTTTTTGTATTTAATTTTAATAAAATGAGTATTAAGCTTAAATAAGTGAGAGAAGAAATAAAATTGGAATGTCTTTATTTTTCTTTGCTGTAGTAAAACTCCAGATGGAAATGAAATGTTGGTTATTTTCACATTGTTTGAGCTTAGAGTATATATTTAAGACATATCATCACAATGCCTTGATAAATTACATGACCTATAAGTTTCCTCTCTGGGGTGAGTTTACAGTTGTTAATGGAAAAATGGATTTTTTTTTTTTACAGAAAAATTGTTCCCTTCTATAATCTGTATCTTGTTCTGCTTTAAAATCTGTTACTTCTGCAAAAGGCTTTAGTATCTGGGTGTTACAATGTATTTTTACCTCTAGGTTCAGATACTGACTCCACTTTGAATCCAAATTTATGCAATTTTTTGTGCCAGCAGTGTTTGTATAGAATTTTGACTTATATTTTCTCAAGGATTAAAATTTACACGTGTATACTAAGGTCTCAATTTCTTTTTTTCATGTATTCTGAATATAGTCTGATCACCTGCTTCAAATGGGAGGTTACTTATATGAAACATTCATAATTTGAGATTAGTTTTAAATTCTAATTCTAAATTCTATTTGAAATGCCCTTTCTATACTGTGCAGTTTTACTGCTTCCAGGAGAGTAGAGAGTCTTGCCATTGAACAATAGTCTTTGTCTCCCAAATTGCTATATCTGCTAGAAAATTTGTTCTGGAAAGCCCAAGCCTCATATTTAGTAATTTTGAGAAACTAGAAATAATTTTTCAGTTATTCAGGTGGAATTCTATAGATTACACAAGTGTGTTCACAGAAGCTACTGTTCATAAAAAATTTCAAATTCTCGTAGTCCTACTCAATGTCACACGTTAATATAGTGAGGTTATTATTGAAGTACTCATCACTCATGTCCCAGAGCAATTATAAAAAGCTATTAATTTAATATATATTTCCAAAAAGAAAACAGTTAAACGTAAGTTACACAAAACTTTTCTTATGTTTTCCTATCTTTTTGTGAATATAAAAATTTAAAACAAATCCATTTTATGAAATTGGAAAATATTAGGGAAATATTAACAACATTTTCTAGTAAAATATGAAGACATGCTTTTTATTAAATTTAAGGTATTTTTCTATGAATACATTGTTTTGTTCTTATAGGAAAACACAGTAAGACTTGATCTTGAGGAAATAATATATACAAAGATTTAGTGATAGGGGTGTTGGTCATGCCATTATTAGTATTGGTATAGCCATAAATTAAATATAGATCATTAAAAGTGATGTAGAAATCGATTTCTCTTCAAAGCAGTGCATAGGATGATAAAGCTGTTTGGTTAGAAAAACTGTAGTCCTAAAACGTTAATATATACTATTTTTAGTTTTCCATATTCAGCCAGGAAGAACACAGTTCCTGTTGCATGGTATGTGGGCTCAATAAATATTACCTGTTATCATTGACCTTTTGTTAGTCTTTTGGGATTCCCTGTCATACATTTTATTTGATACAAGTGTAACGAGTTTTCCTAAATTAGTTTGGGTAAACTCACAGCACATTATGTTGGAATGAACAAATAGAATGAATTAAAGATGGCCGTGATATGTGAGGACTTCTACTAGTCAGATGCGACAGTGTGAAGCACTGTTGGTGATGTAGCAAATCACCATTTACTAATACCTCCTGAGTGTGGAGGGATGCTATAGGAGACGGAGGAATAGACAGTCATATTGAAGGACCTTAGGTCACAAAACAGTTATGTAACCTCTAACCTCCTCAATAATTCCGTGAGATAGGTATTATTTTTGTTAGAATATAAGCTCTAAGAAGGCAAGAATTGCATATTTTGTTTATCACTGTCTTCCTAAAGCCTAAACCCATTTCTGGCACATAGTAGGCATGCATTAACTTTGAATGAATCAATGAAAGAACTCTGTGTACAAATGACCCTACGATTCAAGAGAGTTGATAGTAAATACAAAAATACTTATTGATGTTGATTAATTCAATTTTATTTTAAGGATAATTTTTTTTAACATCTTTGTATTTTCCCATAAACTACTCAGTTGCTCTTTATGTTAATGTGATTCACAAAATAGAACTAAGTGGCATCTTTTAAAAATATGGAATATTGCTTCCTGCTTTTATGTTATTTCTTAGAAAAAAACCTTAATTATTTCTGAATTATCTTTTTTTTAAATATTTCTTTTATCCATTTGAAAGAGTTCCAGAGAGAGGTAAAGACATAGAGAGAGGTCTTCCATCGACTGATTCACTCCCCAGATGGCTGCAATGGCCAGAGCTGCGTCGATCCGAAGCCAGGAACCAGGAGCTGCTTCTGGATCTCCCATGTGGATGCAGGGGCCCAAGGACTTGAGCCATCTTCTGTTGCTTTCCCAGGCCATAGCAGAGAGCTGGATTTGAAGAGAAGCAGCCGGGACTAGAACCAGCACCATATGGGATGCTGGCACTTCAGACCAGGGCTTTAACCCGCTGTGCCACAGTGCTGGCCCCATTCTGAATTATCTTTTATTAAATATTGTAAAATTAAGGATTTAGAGATAAGTATATTATGCTTTTAGTTTGATAATTGTAAAACACTTTGTACAAAGCATTATTCTTTTTTTTAATGATTTATTTTATTTATTTGAAAGACAGAGTTACAGAGAGGGGTAGAGACACACAGAGAGGTCTTCCATCCGCTGGTTCACTCCCCAGATGGCTGCAGTGGCCGGAGCTGAGCCGATGTGAAGTCAGGAGCAGCCAAGACTAGAGCTGGTGCCTGTGAGGGATGCCGGCGCTTCAGGCCAGTGCTTTAACCCACTGTGCCACAGCTAGCCCCCAAAGCATTATTCTTAGAACAATGAATTATTGTATTCAATCATCAGGAAAAGAAAGTAAAGGTTGTTGTGTACATATTTGATGGATAAGTAAGAGAAAAATAAGTTAAATCTAGCACAAAATACTGTGATTTGTAGTTGTTAATTTCCTGATAGTGTAATGGAAATAGATATTGGTTAAAGGTACTATAGGTGGCCCTAGAATCTTTAAAAAAAAAATTTATAAAAGTAAGTGCTTGTTCTCTGAGTCAGCAGATTTTATAATGCTTCTTCCAAAAGGAATAAATTTAAATTTCTCTCACACAGCCTTGAAAATGTGATACAAAGTTGTGTTATGTCAGTATCTTCAATAATTCATTGCACTGTGCTGTGTGCAGGAATCCAATAAATAATTGTTGAAGAATAGGCTGTACTGTGGTATAGAGTGGAAAAGGAGTGTAACTTGACATTTTAAATTTTATTTTAATCTCAAGCACCAAGATAAAATGAAGGCAAGAGCCTTCATACAGCAATTTGCAGTGGCTCCCACTTACCTTGAGTTCAGCCAAAGCAGTTTTTGAAATCCATGAAACCTCAGGACTCTACAGGTGAAAAATAATCAACCCTGTTGAGAATTACAGCCTTTGAACCATGAGACTCAACAGTCAAGAAGTCAGAGTTTAGAATCTTAAGAGGACATTGCAAAGCCGGCACCGCAGCTCAATAGGCTAATCCTCCACCTAGCGGTGCTGGCACACTGGGTTCTAGTCCTGGTCTGGGCCCTGGATTTTTTTCGCCAGCCGTGGCAGCCATTGGAGGGTGAACCAACGGTAAAGGAAGACCTTTCTCTCTGTCTCTCTCTCACTGTCCACTCTGCCTGTCAAAAAAAAAAAAAAAAAAAAAAAAAAAAAGGACATTGCAGCAGGAGATGAGAACCAGGTACTGTTCCTTTGACTTCATCCACTCCTTTCCCTCACCCCAACTTCTCACCTGGCTCACAGTTTTCATGCTTGTCTCATCTTAAATATCACGTTCAGAAGCTTCCAAACCCTTTAAGCCTAGATTAAATGCCTCCAATGCACCACCTCACATTTTTGCTATCATTGCTTTGTATAACGGTAACATAACATTGTAACTCCCCATTGATTTGTCCAAATCTCTCAGCAAACTTGGAATAGGACTCTGTCTCACTTATTCATCATTGTATCTCCTGTATTTAGCACAGAGCCTAAATGTCTGTGCAATAAAGAATGGAAGGAAGGAAATGTCCTTTCACTAGTGGAAATAGGCCATCGATATGCATAAAGTGACCCTCTACTTTAATTTTTTTAGCCTGCCCTACAGTGTAAGGGTATTTTTCAGGAAAAAAAAAAAGTCATGGTAAATTTGAAGAAGTATGCAAATGTATCCTGACTTTCGGAGAGAAGAGGAAAGGTGATGAGGAAAAGGGCAGAAATAAGAGAGACCTTTCATTATGGATCTCATTAGTTACATTAACACTTAGAGATTGTGGCATTCTTACAAGAAGGGAAATGTTGGAGCCATCCCAATTCACTATTTGAGTTTTTTTCAATATTTATTTTCAGAGGAACTGTGGTATACTGTTGGTGGGAATGTAAATTAGTACAGCCAGTATGAAAAGCAGTTACGGGGGTCACTCAGAAACCTAGAAATAGAATTCCTCTGTGATCCAGCAATGCCACTACTGGATATGTATCCAAAGGAAATGAAATCAGCATGTTCTAGGAAACATCTACCTTTGTGTGTTTATTGTAGCATTATCTACAATAGCCAACATATAGAATCAAACTAGGTGTCCATTGACTGATGATGAATGGATAAAGGAAACATAAGGTATGCATAATTGGACATTGTTCAACCACAGAAGAAGAATGAAATTCATTTGTAGCAACTTGGATGCAACTGGAGGACATTGTTGGGCACAGAATGACAAATACCACATATTCTCACTTATTTGTGGAAGCTAAAATGTTGATCTCATGGAAGTAGAGACTACTAGAGTAGTTACCAGATACCAAAGGCTGGGAGGGAGGGAGGGAGAGGATTATCAATGGGAAAGTGGTCGGTCAGGAGAATTAAATTGTGATGTCTGTAGCACAGTAGGTTGAATATTGTTGACAACAATTGAACATTTCAACATAGCTAGCGGAGAAGATTTTGAATGTTTCCAACACAAAGAAATTAAATATGTCTGAGGTGCTGGATATACCAGTTACCCTAATCTGATATTATGCATTGCATATGTGTATTGAAATGTCACATTGTACCACATAAATATCTATGATTACTATGTGTCAAAATATATCTTAAAATACTAATTATGAAGGTTGTGAAAGGCTTCTCAGAATATAAAGTACTGATTAAAATAACAAATATCTTGCCACTAATGCAGTCAACACACTGAATAGATGTAGAAACTCAGGCACGGAGCTTCTTGACCATGGTCTGGTTTTTTTTGTTTGTTTGTTTGTTTGTTTTGTTTTGTTTTTTATTTTTTGACAGGCAGAGTGGACAGTGAGAGAGAGAGACAGAGAAAAAGGTCTTCCTTTTGCCGTTGGTTCACCCTCCAATGGCCGCCGCGGCTGGTGCGCTGTGTCTGGCACACTGCACTGATCCGAAGGCAGGAGCCAGGTGC